CGGACCGGGACCGGCAACGGGATCGCAACCCTCGGTGTTGCTCCCGCGCCTCGCTCAGCCAGTGAGCGGGAACCGGTCTGTATGTGGGATCCGAACCCTCGGCGGGAGCGCCACTGCACTTCCCAAGCGGTGCACTATAGCAGTGCGCCACCGGGCCGGCCCTAAGATCACAGCTTTATAATCACAGATTGTCTAATACTAACCCCAACTTTAGAGATGAGAAAGCCAAAGTCCAGTCCAGAAGGATTGCTGTCACATAGACAAAACTACAAAACTGGGACTGGGGTTTGTATTTACTGATGCTCATTTGTTGATTCTCTATCTACCAATTATGGCCTTTCTGGATCAAGTCCCCATGTACTATCATGTCTTGTAATTCACTTAGTTCATTGTACCTCTGTTGTGATAGGGTCTTTACATTCCCATTTCTATAGCAAATGAGCCTCCCCAAGACAGCAGGAATTCAACAGGTTTTTTAGCTTTGTATGAGTCTTAATCTTGGATCAATTGAACTTTTGTTTTCCTGTATGAGGGTATTTCAAAAAGTTTGTGGAAAAATAGAATTGAAATATAATACAAATCTTTCCATGAATTTTTTGAAATAACCCTGGTATGTATCATGCTACCAATCTTTTTTATTTTCCTACTACCAACCTATTTTAAAATTTGTATTGTGAAACACTGTGGGAAGCTTGCCCCCAAGAATTCTTAGTATGAAGAGATTGGGTAAGGGTATTTGTCTTGTTGCTCTAGGTACAATTAATTAGTGGAATTTTGTTGTTTCCTAGAAAGTTAGGGTCGAAATTCAAGTCAAAGAGCTTTATTATGGAAGGGGGTCTTGATTGGTTCTTGTTTAATCATAGGTCAGAAGAATTTACTAATGTCATGTTTCAGCTATTGAGTAAAACTTCAGGTTCTTTCATAGAAAAACTTTTGGTAGAATTAAATGAATATTTTGTAAAATTTATGGAGCCCTTATTAAAAATACCTTTAATATAAGTGAATTTTAGAAAACAAAATAATTTTAGAATTTTAATTATTTAGCTTGAGAGGGAAGGTTCAAATGATGGCAGTTTTTTTTTTGTTTTTTTTTTTTTTTTTTAAAGATGACCGGTAAGGGGATCTCAACCCTTGGCTTGGTGGTGTCAGCACCACACTCAACCAGTGAGCTAACCGGCCATCCCTATATAGGATCCGAACCCGGGGCCTTGGTGTTATCAGCACCGCACTCTACCGAGTGAGCCACGGGCCGGCCTTAAATGATGGCAGTTTTACTGTGATTTTGGTTAACTTTCAACTACTAAGCTAAACTTTCTGCTACATGTTTATACCCTGCATGTTTATATCCTAAAAGTGGCCAGTAGTGTCTAGGTAATCACAGTTCTGTATACGAAGAAGAGAGAATTTGTAACTCAAGCACCCTGCATATTTACACAAGCTGCTTGATGCTAAAACCAAAGATCTTAGGAACTTTTTAAAAATAGGAATATCAGGTTATTTGTCTCAGTGTTTTTCTTGTTCATGGGAATTACTTTGATAATCTGATTGCAGTCTATCTAAAGGGAATTTAGTAACTAATGTCATATCGCAGCTATTGAGAAAGATAAACTTTAGGTCGAAAGTTAGGAGGAAATGAACCCAGAGTTAAAGTATATGATTGTGTGGGAGATTGTGACACCACTAGGTCAGTGGACAATGGAATCCCAGGATTTGAGGGAGGGCTGTTGGAAAGTTTTTCCAAGGTCTTTATGGAGGCTCTGAAGTATTGGAGAGGGCCAGCTGTGCTGAAAAAGGTTATTTTCGAGTTAGGAGGATGCTGTTTTTAAATATGACTGACTGGTTCTGCATTGTGGTTTTGCATTAGAATCCCCTGGCAAGCTTTTAAAAAAATAACAAGTGCCTGGGGTCCTATCCTCAGAAATATATTTTCAAAGCAGTATGGAATTGAGAAGCATCTCTGGGAGTCATCCTCACAACCCTAAGAGTTAAACACCTTATGGTGAAGATTAAATGAGATTGTATATTTTAGATGCCTGGCACAGTGTCTCCCACTGTTGTTACTTTCAGTGTGAAGTAAGGGCTGTGTAGGGTGCTGAGGCTGAATACCATAATCTACCAATTGGCCTGCATTTCATGCAAATGAGAAACCAGAGACCAGGCCAAGAGCTTTCTATTCATTTTAAATACTGAATCAGGGCCGGCCCGTGGCTCACTTGGGAGAGTGTGGTGCTGATAACACCAAGGCCGCGGGTTCAGATCCCATATAGGGATGGCCGGTTAGCTCACTTGGGAGAGCGTGGTGCTGACAATGCCAAGTCAGGGGTTAAGATCCCCTTACTGGTCATCTTCAAAAAATAAATACCGAATAAAATATTTTTTGAAGTTAGATCTTATAATAAATGCTTAATACTAAATTGTGCCCTCATAGGTCTTTAAGCAAAAACATTCCTCAGGATTTCATGATTCTCTGATACCTTAGGAAGCAAAGGACCCATCCACAGGATTCTTTAGCATTCTGCTTATCTAGGTGATGATTTGAGTTAGTACTAGATGTAAGAAATATGTGTGTTTATAATGAGACATTGGTCTTTATAGTGCTTAGCTAATGAAAAAAGGTCCTCAGGGTGAATCATAATTAGAACAGCGTTAAACAGGTTTGAATTTTATCTGTTGTTTGGAATGTGGAGTGTTATTTCCCTGTAAAGTGAGTTGTGACTGGATGAGATCATTTTAGAATTTCCTATACCCTGGGGCCTTTGTGGAACACTTTAAAGTCCAATAATTGTCATATAATGCTTGTTTTCCTTACCATTCATATGTATATGTATATTTTTTTCCGAGTCAAGTGAGAGTGGAGAAGGAACAAAGAAATCTGTAACTGGTTGCAATCCATTAGTTGTAAACATACAGTTCATATATATATATATTTTGGCGGCTGGCCAGTATGGGACTTGAGCCCATAACCTTGGAGTTACAAAGCTTTGCTCTAACCAACTGAGCTAACTGGCTAGGCCTTACGATTTATATCTCAAAGGCGTATTATGTGGCTAACTTTGCTACAAGTTACAAAATTTGGAATATTAAGGGAAGAATTTTCCCACATGTTTTTCTGGGCATAGAAAATGAAATTTTAAATTATTATCTTAATTTCCATTTTTTATTTCAGTGATCTGCTAAATAAAATGTAATAAGCATTTAAATTTTTTCTTTATTCTTATAGCAGTTTTAATTTTACAGAGAAATTGAGCAGAAAGTACAGATGATTCCCATCCTCTCTCCCACCCACATATACACCACATACTCTCCTATTATTGAAATGTTACACTAGTGTGGTATATTTGTTACAATTATGAATCAATATTGATATATTATTATTAACTTAATTTTATTTTATTTTATTTATTTATTTATTTTTATTTATTTATTTATTTATTTATTTATTTATTTATTTATTTATTTATTTATTTATTTATTTATTTATTTATTTATTTATTTATTTATTTATTTATTTATTTATTTATTTATTTATTTATTTATTTATTTATTTATTTATTTATTTATTTATTTATTTATTTATTTATTTATTTATTTATTTATTTATTTATTTATTTATTTATTTATTTATTTATTTATTTATTTATTTATTTATTTATTTATTTATTTATTTATTTATTTATTTATTTATTTATTTATTTATTTAACGCTCAGCCAGTGAGCGAACCGGCCATCCCTATATGGGATCCGAACCTGTGGCCTTGGTGTTATCAGCACCGCACTCTCCCGAGTGAGCCACAGGCTGGCCCCTAACTTAATTTTATATTAGGGTTCTCTCTTCGTATTATACAGTTCTGTGGGTTTTGCCTAATGAATAATGTAATGTATGCACCATTACAGTATCATATAGAAAAGTTTTGCTGCCCTGAAAAACCTCTGGGCTCCCCCTATTCATCCCTCCCTCATCCCCTGAAATCTGGTGACTACTGATTTTTCTTTCTTTCTTTTTTTTTTTTTTTTTTGTCCTTTTTGAGACTGGCTGCACTGCGCTCAGCCAGTGAGCGCACTGGCCATCCCTATATAGGATCCGAACCAGTGGCGGGAGCGCTACTGCGCTCCCAGCGCCGCACTCTCCCGAGTGTGACCCGGGCTCGGCCCACTGATTTTTTTTTTTTTTTTTTTTTAATCAACTCAAACCTCGTTTATCATTTCTTTGTGTTGGAAACATTCAAAATCCTCTCTTCTGATTGAAACTACAATAAATTAATTATAGTCAACCTGCAGTGCTCTAGAACACTAGATAGCCTTCTAAATTATTTGTAATTTTAACAATTATTTTTTGCAAAGGAGACTAAATTGATCTCTGAGAGAGCAGGACAGATGGGTGGGGGAGTTTTTTGTTTTGTATTTTTTTGTTTGTTTTTTAAAATAGAGAAATAGTATAGAATTGAGGAAAAGAGGACGAACTTAAACCACATAATCTTATTCAGCTCTTTGTCTGAGGAGGAAGAAATAAAGGGGAGATCTGAATCATGCTGTTCATCTCTACGTTTCAGAGTGGTTAAAAAAGACCTGAGAGCGTCATGTCAGACCTTAGTTTAAAGTGCATGTGCCATTCTGTTTAACTTTGAATAAAGAGAAGTTCTGAATATGTCAAAGCCATTTTCCATATTTGAGACCTCTCAGTTGGTTCAGGAAATAAACTCCTTGGACTGTCTCTCCCACTTGCATCTATCTCCCATTTTTTGTGAGTATACAGCTAAGAAAAGACTGGACAGATGCATACTAAATTTGGCTTTCAGACTGATGGATGCAGAATGTTTGCGTGAAGATGTGTGGTTAAGTCAGAAGTGATATACTTAAGGGGCACCCTAAGATGTTGAGATCGAGAAGTAAAGCTTGTTAGAAATACTGGTCTATGCATAATAATAATTAAGAGTTAATGAATAATACTATTCATTAATTCAATCACTTAACCTAATTCAAAAGCACATGACCAGCATTTGCTTTTAATAATGAAATAGAATGGAATAAGAAATATGAAAGAGTATATATGTATGAAACTATTATTGAACATAAACAGTTGCTATTGTTGTAGATCAAAAACAGTCAAGTATCTGCAGTTTCATACAGTTCAACCTAATTGTGTACTGGATCACAGTGAAAGAGTGATCTAAGAGATTGGTTCAAACTAGTTTGCAAGGGCTGCCTGGTTAGTTCAGTTGGTTAGTTTAGAGTGCAGCCTTGTAACACCAAGGTCCAGGTTTCGGTTCCTTGTACTGACCACCTGCCAAAAACTAAATTAATTAATTAAACTAGATTGCAGAATTTAGGGAGAGTAAATGCTGAGAAAGCCGACATAGATTGTGCATTTCCTCTGACATTGTGAAATAAATTGGGGCAGATTGAAATTACAGGGGATTCAAAACATTCTGCCACATACATAGTTGGAAAGCTGGTAACAAGCAAAAAACATGCTTGAGAACTAAGAGATACTAAATTAGTGTATGTTTTTGTGTTTGGTTAAAATTTAGTTCATACTTTAGTAGGCACAAATAGATGAGGAAGAACTTCCAGATGATTACTGGTTCGAGTAAATAGATTCCAGATTATTCTAGTTCGAGTAAATTTTTTTTTCTTGACTGGTTGGTATGGGTATGCAAACCCTTGACCTTTCTGCTATCAGCACCGCGCTCTCCTAGGTGAGCTAATCTGTCAGACTTAGTTTGAGTAAATTTTTTTTTTTTTTTTCCTTTTTCTTTTTTCGTGTCGGGCAACGGATCGCAACCCTCAGTGTCGCACCCATACCAGACCGGGACCGGCAATGGGATCGCAACCCTCGGTGTTGCTCCCACACCTTGCTCAGCCAGTGAGCGGGAACCGGTCTGTATGTGGGATCCGAACCCTCGGCGGGAGTGCCACCGCGCTCTCAAGCGGCACACTGTAGCAGTGCGCCACCGGGCCGGCCCCAAGTTTGAGTAAATTTTACATTATATTCTTGAGTAAAGCTCTCCACACACCCAGCAACAAATTTTAAAAACCAACAGGATTTCTGTCTGTATTAAAGGAAAATTATTAGGGCTTTAAATATTGAAACATTTTATGGCACCTTCTAACTAATAAAGATTTATTGCCACCTGCTTCAGAACAACATATTGTGTTCTGAGGAAATACTGAAAGTATTGAGTTTACAAAAATCTACTGGGAAAGCTGATTGTGAGGGTTTCTGAATTACAAATGGAAGTCTAGTACTTTGAAAACAGAAATGTCAGTGTGGGTCTAACGGGAATTGAAGAGCATTTACTGCTTACAGACATGAAAAGTTATGAAGTATGTGGGCAACTTGCTCATTCTTCTCTTGACTGTATTTAAAAAGCAGGTGAAAATAGGCAAGCATATATGGGCAGTGGTCTTAAAGTGGAATCGTATGGAAACCCTGGGATTGTGCAAAAAGAGGACAGAAAAGAAAGGCCAGCAAAGAGTGAGGAAACAGGGCCGAGATCTAGGACCCTCTGCCCTGTTTTGATCATGGCTGCTTTGCTGTTTATATATTTGGATTTTGCTTCATAAAAGTTTGAAAACCACTGCAATAAGTCATGAAATAGCTGTTAGACCATTTGTTATATAATATTTCATCTGTCTTCTGTTTCCTTAGATTTTTAGGTTAACTTGAGAACTTGAACAAATAAATTTTACATCCATTGTTATAAAACCCTAGATATGTTTTTTTAAAAATCAGTGATGGGTCTTGGTGATTTTATTTTATTTATTTATTTTTTAAAGATGACCGGTACGGGGATCTTAACCCTTAACTTGGTGTTGTCAGCACCACGCTCACCCAAGTGAGCTGACCGGCCATCCCTATATAGGGATCCAAACCCAGGGCCTTGGTGTTATCAGCACTGCACTCTACCGAGTGAGCTACGGGCCAGCCCAAGGGTCTTGGTGATTTTAAAAGCAAATGTTGGGGCCCGCCTGGTGGAGCACTCGGTAGAGGGCGGCGCTCCCGCCGAGGGTTTGGATCCCATATAGAGACCGGTCAGCTCACTGGTTGAGCACGGTGGGGGCGCGACACCGAGGGTTGCGATCCCGTTGCCGGTTGTGGTACGGGCGCGACACAGGGTTGCGATCCTGTTACCGGTCATGAAAAAAGACAAAAAGGAAAAAAAAAAAAGCAAATGTTCACATTGGTTTTTTTGTTTGTTTTGTTTTGTTTTTTTGGTGGCTGGCTCGTACAAGAATCCAAATCCATGACCTTGGTGTTATAAGGCTGCGCTATAACAAATTGAATTCACTAGCCAGCCCTGTTCCTCCCTTTGCATCTGTGCTGACAACACCAAGTCAAGGGTTAAGATCCCCTTACTGGTCATTAAAAAAAAAAAAAAAGTATGTGATTACTTCCCAAATAAATCTGATAATAAAAATGATTGTCTCTTTAATGACTTATATATTGGGCCAGGCACTTTATATCTGTTACCTCATTCAGTCCTGAAAACACAATGGAGTCAAGCTACTTACTATTTAATCTCTATTTTACAAATGAGGAAACTTGTGTTCAGAAAGTGGCGATTCAGCTATTCAAATCCAGATTTTCTCGAGATCCTTTTTTCCCTGGTGGCTGGCTGGTCTGGTATCTGGACCCATGACCTTGGGGTTATAAGTTTGTGCTCTAACCAACTGAGCTAACAGGCCAGCCCTCCCATGAGATCCTGAGCTAGCAACCACCGTCCTCCACTACCTTCTAGTTCATAATTATATGATTTCTTAGGAGGGTATGCTCACTGGCTAGATTGGTTTGATGGGATTATTTTGTTTTTTTTTAAGGTTTCGGAAATTTAGGCTCATTCTTTAAGAATGGGAAGATTCTAACCCAAACAAATGTTTCATGCTGTTGTGGTAAGCACATGGATGCACGATCCATACCTTCTAGAAGAGAAGAACTTCTCTCTGGCTTTTCATGAAAGCCCAGGGGAAGAATGGTTAACCAAGACTACCGAGAATACAAACTTCCAATGGCCTGGAAGGAAGCCATGCAAAGAGGAATGTAGTTCAATCTTTATGGAAATACTGAGACTAGGAAAGACATCTGCCTTGAGGAAATATGCATGACATGAGAAGGGGTTATCCAGCAACTGCCTGCACTCCTTTGCCCAAGACTTTCCTATTATGATCTTTACACAGTCATCCCTTAGTCCTCCAAGTGTGTCTGCATTTGTTGCAGGGATAGATTTACCCAGACAGGTGGAAGAGTCATGACTTAAGGGTTATAAACAGCTGCAGAGGCCTAGGCTGCTCTGATAGACTTGCTAGCAGGGAATGAGGCCGTTCCCCGTTTCTGGGCATTAACCAGCCTTAGAACAGTCCCCAAATCAGAACGACTGTAATTTTGGTCCAGCGCATGCACCACCCATTACAGCTAAATAGTAACATTAAAATGTAAAGAGTTTCCAGTCGTTTTATTTTGGGGTGGTTGGCCAGTGAGGGGATCCAAACCCTTGACCTTGGTGTTATAACTCCGCGCTCCAACCAACGGAGCTAACCGGCCAGCCCCTCTGTTTGTTTTAAAAGGGATCATCTTGGCGTGCTGTTTGTTGCTGACTCATAGCGTTGCTGCTTTGGGATAATATGTTAAGTTTCAAAATGGGACACACACTAGGTATGCAACAAATACAAGTCAACTCGTAGCAGTAACTCTTGTCCCTTAAGGAGAGTGCCCCTACTATCCCACCACAGGTAAGGCAAGTGAGTGAATGGTGACTGACAAATGTGTCCTGGTTTGTTGTTTCTAACTCCCCCAGAGCAAGCGTTTCCCTCTATCAGGTAACTTTTTAAAAGTGACAGCGAGCACAACTTTTACCGAGCAGGTTCGGCTTCTGACCAGTTATCTCCGAGGTTTGAGGGTGGGTGAGGGGAGAACGTCTCTAGACCCTCCCTGTCCAGGAAGGGGGCAGGCTTAAGCTGAGCTCTGGTCGCCGCAACCTGTCGTGACGCCGCACGGTGCTTGGCACTTCAGAAAGCCAATAGAAATGTAAAGAACCGTTTGAATCGGCCAATGCCGGAGAGGAGAGGGCGGGGCTTACGAGCCCTATAAAAGCGGCGGCCGGTCAGCAGGCAGCAGCGGCGGCTCCTGCAGCAGCGGCAGACTGTGGGCGGTGGAGCTCCCGTGCGCCCCTCGGGTCCGACCCTTCCAGTGTCCCGCTCCCTCGCCAGCCTGCCTCGCTCCTCTGCGCCATGACCACCACCACCACCTTCAAGGGCGTCGACCCGAACAGCAGGAATAGCTCCCGGTGAGGCGATCGGGCTGCTCCCGAGCCGCGCAGGGCTGAGGGGCGGGAGGGCCGCTGCCCGCGGGGCCAGGCGGGCCGGGCGCCGGTCGTTGGCGGTAACGTGTCCCGTGCGCTGCGCTCGCGCCCGGGCGGGCGGCAGGGCTCGGCC